TTTACCTGGGGATTAGGATCATAGCTGGTATGATCCTTTTAAAGAGATATTGACCCAAGAGATTGTTTACTATACTTACAAAAATAGGTTGAGTCCTAGACATTAGGATTTTTTTTTTTTAGATAGCTCATGATGGCTTTGAACTTGTTGTGTAGCTGATGGTGACCTTGAACTTCTGACACTCTTGCCTATACATCTTTAGTGCTGGGATTACAGACATGTACCATGATTCCTTGTTTGCATGATGCTGGGGATTGAACCAAGGGTCTTATGCATAGCAGCCAAGAACTCTACCACCTGAGTTACATACCCAGTTTCTGGAAAACCCTGAAGTAAACACACTTAGCCTTGGAACCCTCAGTTTAGTGCCTTGACATTAAAAAGTGTGTGTGTGCATGTGTGTGTGTGTGTGTGTGTGTGTGTGTGCACGTGTGTGTATGTGTACGTACATACAGACATTGGAGTAATGGACTCATATTAGTGTCCATGTATCAGGGATTGGGACTTGTCAATTACAGACAGAGTCACTGGATGACACGTTTGAGACTGTAGCTGGGATATTTAATTTTGAGGGAAAAGTCCATGGGGGTGTATTTTTCTGTCTGAAGCATTTGGTGACCCGACGTTCTTATTCTGTGTCACAAATTCTCTGTGCATCCCTCTGTTCCTGTTCGTGCTGCAAGCAAAGCACTGACTGCCTTTGGCCTCACACTGTGGTTTCAAGAATGTGTGCCCAGGGAATAGCCTCAGAAGACGGGGACACTTCTCCTTCAGACAGGCCAGTCAAGCTTGTCGTCCAAGGGAGGATCACAGTTCCTGTCCTGTGGAACAATTGTGTCCTTGGGTGCCACATACCTGCCTTGACATTGACCTGTAAAAATGGGGATGTATGGATTCTGCTTAACAAGGCAAATCCCTCTGGCAGCTGCGAGCACTGAGGATAGCAAGCTCTCTTTCATCTCTCAGGTTCCGTGTTCTTACACAGCATCTGTAAAACTTTGCAGAGGGACTTGCCAGTGTGCAAGGAAGGAAAAGCAAGACATCCTGGGTCTAGCAATGTTTGTCTGTCTGCTTTTGAGACAGGGTCTCGCTGTGTGTGCAGCCCTTGGTGCTCTGGAAGTCCTTATGTAGATCAAACAGGCCTCGAACTCACACAGCTCTCCTCGCCTCGGTTAAAGGTGTGCGCCTCAACACCTGGCTAGGCTTTCAGAGGTCCTCCTGGGCCCCCTTCAGATTCATTCTCGGGATTTATGGAGGAGCTGTAGCAGAATCTGAAAGGATTCTGTCATTAAAATCATGTCAGAGAGCCATTGCCCCGTGGGTAAGAAAAGACAAAACACGCAAACAAGCAAAACACTACATTAAGTCGGGTCTTCCCGGGACGGTGAAGGCTGAGATGGTAAAGTATAGCTTAAGGATGATATTTTCATGGATTCATATTATTGATAAATAAGGTAAGAAAGGGAATCGGCTGCACATTAAAAGATAACAAACAACAAAATGGTGTTCTGAAACATATTTGCAAGAGTACACACACAAGCACATATACATAAACACATACTAATACAGAGAGACACAGTAATAAACATACACTATCACACACACCAACATGGGAGATGGGAATTTACAGAAAACATAGGAAGGGAGAAACTGTGAGACCGAAACAGGAACAAAAACAATACACCTTGCAGGTTAATGGGAGACCAAAACAGAAAAAATACACTTTGCAGGTTGAGATTCTATTTGCAGTTAAACAGTTAAGAATAAGTTCCTGTTTGTCCTATGGATGTGTGCAGAAGGTATGTGGGTAGGAAATACGTCAGGATGGATGTTTGTCCCTTCATTGCTTATATGACAGGAAGTACATCAGGATATATGCTTGCCCTTGATTGGACCTGACAGAAGACACAGTGGTCTTATGGGTGCGCCTTTAGAAGCCTTCACAAAATGTGGCTCATTGCCATTTCCTGGGAGCCCTGGGATGAGCATGGTCAAAGTTGACTAACTTGGTCAGGATTTAATTAAAGCTTGCTTCAAATTCAAAGCATTTAATTAAAGCTGGCTTTAAATTGTGGTAGTGATCTTATTCTCAACAGGTGGGATTAACAAAACCTCAACTCTTTTGCCTTTATACTGCAGATTATAAAGCAAGAAACATAAAAAGAAGGAATCAGGGCCCACTTCCATAGGAAAGAGAATCAGAGAGTAGCAAGTGTTGTCTGGCCTAGTCTGTAACTTTACCGAAGACACACACAAAAGTCTGGCCAGTTCTTCAGATGGCACCCACGTGGCCAAAGAGATAGAAACAAGAAGACCTCACAAGCTAAGGTATTTTGTTGTTTTTGTTTTTTCTTTTTTAATAAAGTGCATCCTAATGAAGCTTTATCTTTTTAATGTGAAGGAACAAAACCCAGTAGAAGATATTCTACTATCTTCATATTTGGGATCAGACACTGGGAAGGGAAGAAGACTTTTCTCTATGATGTTTAGAAGCCTTGAATGGCTACAAGCTTGTGTGTGAGTCTCTGTTGAAAATGATGAACCTCATGATAGAAAGGGGCTAGATTTGATCACTGATAGCAAATAGAGGTTCATAAGGTCCACTTGCATCCACACTGCACATTGGTCACTAAGGAGGCAGGCAGCTTTGGAAACAAACACATGTATCTTTGAAATATCTTTTCATTTTTTAGGTAAGGAGAAAGCTAAAAAGACCCAAAGGTGCTCCTCTCTGCCATCTTGATGACTCAGTTTATGCACTCGAATATTCCTATCTGTCATTTTAGTCTTTTGAATCTATGCTCAGTGGTCTCTATTTGGTTATGCCTCGGCATATTTTGGCCATCTTCCCTTCTCGAACTGTGACCTTCAGTTGAGCATGCTCAGGAACACATCATCCCTAAAGGACTTTCTATATAAGCATGTGGAGTCTCCTTGATTTGATTTCTTTATTAAGGTCCATAGTGGTTTGAAAGAAAATGGCCCCACATAGGGAAAGAGACTATTAGGAAGTGTGTCACTGTGGGTGTGGGGTTTGAGGTCTCCTATGTACAGGTTACACCAAGTGACACAGTTCATTTCCTGTTGACTATGGATCAAGTTCTAGAACTCTCAGTCCCTCCTCCAGTACCATATCTGCCTGTATGCTGCCATGGCATGATATCATCTGCCATGATGATAATGGACTAAACCTCTGAAACTGTAAACCAGACCATTATATATTTTCCTTTATTAAGAGTTGTCATGGCTTCCTTTTCCATCTCCCTCTTGAAGAGGCAGCTTCTGTCTCTCCCCACTTCTTCCCTTTCCCCCCTGTTTCTCTCTCTCTCTCTCTCTCTCTCTCTCTCTCTCTCTCTCTCCCTCCACCCCCCTCTCTCTCTATCTCTCTGTGCTCTTCTTCCCTTCTCCCCCTCCCTTCCATATCCCACTAAATAAATATCCAACCTCAAAAACAAATAGCAACAAAGAAAAGTTGCCATGGTCATGGTATCTCTTCATAGCAATAGAAACTCTAATTGAGATGAGGTCTAAGATGGCATTGCTTTCATGGTAACTTCTGAGCTCCTCTTACCTGCTGCAGGTAATCTGTTTCCTCTAATCTTAGTTTTTGGCTGTACTGTGTGTTTTACTCACCATAATGAGAACCAATTGCATTTGGTTGTGCATACATCTTATTATTTTCAAAGTTTCTTGTTGTTGTATCTTGTCTTCATCTACCTTAGCTTCAATATTGTAAATATTGATTTATACCAATAAAAGTGGGTGATAATAACATCTACTTTATGGATTATTATGGGGTTTAAAGAGGATGACATTATAATCATCATAATAAAACACCACAACAAGCCTCTAAGCATACTTTTTCCTTTTTCTCTGTCTCTTTTTTAAAATTTCCATTTATCACAAAACTACCTTCATTGCTGGTCCTCTATCCTGCTGGCTTAGATCAGAATTCTTCTTGGGCCATATTAAAACTGATACATTTACAGATTAACAAAGAGGAAATGCTGAATATTTAGTTGGATACCTAAGTTTGAAGTTCAAGAGGAAGATGCAGGATGGAGTTATCAACCTATAGAAAATTTGTCAAAAGGCAGAGACTTTGTGGGGTTGAATCTTAGGCTATTAGGACCGAAGCATAAGTAAGAAACACTGAATCTCTTGTAACTTCAGAGTTTATACACTCTCAAGCAAGTGTTGGCGTTGGTTGTCTTATAATATTAACATCAGAATGTAGCTTTCAGTTTCTCACCTTTTCATATAGCATTTCATATTGTGGAATGATGATGGTTAGCTTTAATTGCCAACTTGTAGACACTATCCAGAATTAACTTGAAAGAGTCTCTAGGAGGGATTGTCTACATTGGGTTGGTCTATGGGGGATTCTCTTAAGTTATTTGATGTTGGAAGCTCCAGCCCACTGTGGGCAGCACCATTCCCTAGGCAGAAGGTCTTGATCTGTCTGAGTAAAGAAATTGAGTTGAGCACAAGTATGCACATATGTAGTCTTCTGCTCTTGACCGTCAGTATGAAGGGACTAGCTGTTTAAAGTTCCTATGGCCTTGACTTTTCTGCTATTATCAACTATAACTTGGAATTGTGATCTCAAATAAATCCTTTCTCTCCTAAATTGCTTTTTGTCAGAATATTTTACCACACCAATAGTTATGAAAATAGGTAGGTATAGAGGCTGGAATCCTCACCCATGTGAAAGAACTCATCAAACAGAAATATGAATTCTCTCGGGCAATAGAATTCACAGTTGTTCTATCCTGAGCTAGCCCAGGTGACTAGCAACCAAAAAAGAAAGAGCATTCTTTCTAAGGTAATTTTGCTGGTAAGGCAATCCCACAGCCTTGTCTCCAAAGACTTCATTAGAATGTGTTCATGATGGTCCTAGTGGCTTGTTAAGAAGGATTTCCAAAGTCTTCTTCAATAATGATGAATGATAGGCACGGCCATGTTAGCATGTTATAAATAGTTCAAGAGACAACTGATGCTGCACGCTGTTCTTTATTTTTCTTCAGACAGATAAGGGGAGTTAATGGCAATGTAACATTTTCCAATAACACAAAGTGCCATTATATTTAATGGGAGCCAACTGGAGACTTACTTTACCTTAACTATGCAAAGTACACTTTTATAATTTCTTGTATGTACAGTACAGGTTAAAAGTATCAACCTTAAAAGCAGCCCGTGGATAAAAGTAAGAAAATCTTGGTAACAAAGCTTTCAATACAAAAACACTTATTTGTACATTTACTTTACTTAAAATAACCCCAATATAACTGAAGCTAAAGCAAAGCTTGGTTGAAAACTTAAGAAGATATTATAATAAACAACCTCTCTCTCCAAAGGAAAGTGTCTCCTAAAAGAAACCGAATCTCCCATCAATCCTTCAGATGTTATCTTGGAGGGAAGAATTTAATGAACTGAGCCAGCTGGAGGGCCCACTGCAGGCTTCCCAAGTGGGTAGGTGCAGGCATTGCTGCATAGCCACATGGACCACACATTAACATACCCAGGATTTCTGGTAAGCTGGCTTTTCCATCTTCCATGACTGATTTTTTTTTGTCTCTTGTACTGAACTCGGAGGATGAAACACTGCTTTCAGGTTATTTTTCTTGGCTATCCATGATGAAGTGCTAACATACCATTCACCCTCCAACTGTTTTGGTTTTTTGGTGTTCTTTTTTTGTGCCTGGTGAGATGCGCACTGCACAAGTGTCTATAGATGGAGGATTGAGTGAGTCCCTGGTGAGGCTAAGGGACAGACAGGTACAATCATTTACCTAGTTCAGTCTCATAATATTTTACTTGATTCAATCTTACCTAATTTTTTCCTTATTGTATATAATAAACATTGAGAAACAGATGTCCCTACCAACTGGAAAGCTGTTGTTTAAATATCCCATTGGTTAAAATATCAAACTTACTGTTTAAACATTCATTAGCCATATCCAACTTGAACCACATGTTATTGCATGGCCATATTAAGTCAGACTTTGAACTATGTCAGTGTCTCTGGAATCTAAATGTACCACACAGCTTTAAAATGATCCCCACTTCTTGCAAAAGGTCTTTAGAGGAACATAACATTGGCCCCTGTAAAAGTCCCTCATTCCCCATAGTTCTGGTTTCGCAGAAGACGATCACACCCTGGTCCAAGCAGGAAAATGTTCTACTCATATAAGAATTTTCCCTCCCTCCTACCTCATAACAAATGTCCTTTGTCCCTTTAATAATAATGACATAGGAAAATCCCTGAAAGATTCAAATTGGGCAAAATACAGATCTGATTAGAGCCGTCATGAGTCTGACAATGTAGAATTGTATTTCTTAAGAAGTGTGTAACCATATTTGTCTGGGCTGCAATAGACACCATAGAGTACGATCAGACGAGCACCTCAGCGGCTCCCTAATCTCCTTTGACTGGCTTCTATTTCAGCCTTCCCTGTTGTTTCTCCTGATAGAGCAGGCATGCATTTCTGAGCATAAGTGACAAGAAGTCTAAAGAACCCACTACCTTCAGAGCACAGCTAGAGCTGGAACTCCCATTTAGGAGTTGTGTTAGTCTACTCACAATCCCACCCATTCTATTCAGTGTGGAGGCTGCATGTGTGGCATTGTCCCCATTATCTACATTCACTTCTGATTATTTTAATCCTTCTGGGTTTATTAGTATTTTCCAAACCCAGATATCCCCTCCCAAAGACACAGCAAGGCTCTTAGATGTAATAAATAAGTATTCGCCAGAGGAGAAGAAAGTATGTATGAGTGAAGGCCACACCCAAACATGCAGAGACAAGCAAGATGGGCAGGATGGAGGGTTTTAGTTGAACTACATGAAAATGCTTCCTCAACTGTGGTTGTCATGGAAATCTCAAGCCTGCACACATGCTCAGGCCCTGAAAATTCTTCGGTGATGAGTGTCTGCATTTCCCATCTCTCTTTCAGAGTGCCTGGGTGAGGCTCCTGGAGCAGTGGAAGGTGTCAGGATGCTCTTCCCAGGAGCCTTCTATGAACCTCTCAGCCCAGGTTGGGGAGTGTGTATGTTCTATGTCTTCTTGGCTCTGATGTAGAGGAGATTCCAAATCTTACAGAGAAGTTGAAATTGGGGTGTGAAACCCTTCTTAATATGAAATGAATGGGGATGACTCTCTGTTGCCTTATTGCAAAATAATTGATACTATTTTTTAAAAGGAGGGAGAAAAAGGCCAGTCAAGGGTTCTATGTACACTTGTATGTTCTAAGTAACACGTTTTTAACAAGAAAAATGCACCATCAGCTACTCTTAGAGCGAGAGCAACCACAATACTGTGGCTGGGGTTAAAACACTAGGGTCCAGTGACTGGGTGAATTTGCCATTCAAATCAGAAAACAAAATCCCACACCTGAAGGAATCCAATGACCTTTTTCTTTCTTTCAATATGTGTGTGTGTGTATATACATATACATTTTTCCCAAATGCTCTGCAAATCTCAGTCTGAAGAATAACAACAAAACCAAAAGAGAAACAGTTTTATATTAAAATGTCTGTGTTCTTCATCACTACTTCTAAAGCAGCTTGAAGGAGCCCGCCACTTGGCGTGTACTGTAAGCTGACTCCATGACGAAGCTCTTGGCAGGATAGCAGCACAGGTTTCTCATTCCATAGTCATCACGTGGAGAATGTAAACCTTTCAGAGGATAAGATTTTGCTTAAAAATGAAAATAACTTGAAAAGTTCTGACCATCCTGTTCTCCCAGACCTCCTGGGGAGCTTTGCTTTCCTGCCTCAGAGTGATGCTATCCGCCTCTGCATTTCAGGGAGACAGGCCCAGGGCAAGGGGTGGGAGGATTCCTGGTGCATCTGTGTTGGAGCAGGCCACACAAAGCACCTCTCTGAAGGGCCAACTGCCATAGCCAGGTTCTAGCTCTTTGCTCTCTTTCCCACCTGGCTTTCCAACTGAATGAACCTCGTGGGTTTAACCAAACACGCATGTAATCCTAGGTAACTTGAGTGAGTAAACCTTGAAGAAACAAGGTCAAATGAATGAGTTGTATCCATCAGAGTAAGTATGGGGGGAGCAGCTGAGGGGACAGTGAAACCCAGGCTCTCTCAGGCCCCTCGGGTCTCTCAGGCTTAGCCTACATTCTCAGAAATGCTTTTGAAGAATCAAGAGACAAATATCTCAAATGGAAAAATTATCTTTCTTGTTTGTCTTGCTAACAAAAATTCTAGAGGTCACGACTAAACACAATTTAAACAATGCTGAGATGCACCTATTCTTCTGAAAGCAGCTTCTGAAATATCAACCACAGCAATAAACACTGTATGAACACATTCTAAAGTTAATCCAGATGAATGATACAGAGAGCGGGAGTGACACAGTCCCTCCACAAAGGTCTCCACGCTAATCCTAAACTCGGGAGAAAAGATGTTTCCCCTTTCATTAGCTGGAGATTTTACTTCTTCTTTCTCTATAACTTCCCAACTTTTTTTTTTTTTGCCCCAGGATGTACAGATAATCTTCACATTCCATACATACCTGAAACCTTTTCCCCCCCTCCCTCTGTCAGGTTTTCAAATAAAACCAAACTATAAAGACAGATAAATGTTTTACATGTAACTACATAGACATAGGCCATTGAATCCTTAGGCCTTGCTGCAGGGCTTCCTTTAGGATCTATGGCCTCCCCACAGTATTTCAGACCCTTTCCTTAGACAGGACAGACCAGGCTAGCAGGTACCCGCAGCTGCCTGGAGGGCCACAGGCTTTTTTTCTGCTGTGGTGGTGTCCCTGCCTCACTACACCCTCTGGCAGGAGAGGCATGGAGCCTGCCCTCTCTCTACCTTGGCAAATGTCCTAGGAAGAGTTGTGGATCTCACGCTCCAGATGAGGCAGGGCCCACAGTGAGTCTCACTATTGCTCTTTCTTACTGTGCAATTCTGAGCTCTTCCGGCTTCCAGACATTCACAGCCAAACTGCTCTGTTCCAGCACCCAAGCGGAGGCTGAGGAGGGCCAAGGATCAGTCAGGTCAAGGCCTCACTGGGCCAGAGAGTAGGTTCTGCAGGTGCCGGTCTCCTAAAAGCAGGCACTTGTGGCCGCCTGATGTTCTGGGTGACCCCATTCTTCCTGATGCTGAAGAAGTCACCACATGTCCACTTCCTCGAATCTAGAAGCTTCTGTTTCCTACTCAGAGTGAGTATAGGAGGATGGGTGGGTGTATCCAAAATATATGAATATCTACAATCAGGGCTTAAGGTACTGGATGATATTGTATAAACTGCTAAAATGCTTCTCGGCACAATTGGTAGCTAAAAAAATAATTTCCTATGGTTTGAGGGAATTCTCCCATCTCTGTCTTTCAGTGGGGACGTCTCAGTAGGTACCAAGTCCATCTGAAGTCTCCAGTCTTTGTCCTCTGACTGGGTATGTACCATGTGAATCATATACACAGTCCAAGGAAGATCAGACTTCCTTGGAGGCAACTACCCCTACGGTATCCTAGCCCCCAGGGCCAGTTTATACAGATCACATGGAGACTTTATCTCCAGCTTCCAGCAGTCACACTACAGGTTTCCCCAGCAGTCAGGGTCCTGGGACATTTGTTTTTTAGATGACCAGTCTGGCCAATATGGAAAACAGATTGGTGTCCATAGGCACAGGCCAGCAGGTGGAGCCACAAAGTGGTGCTTGGCAATTCCTGGCAGGGTTTCCAAAGCTTGAAGTTTCAATGAAACTGTCTTAAATAAATAAATCTTTTTTTCTAAATAATGTAAAAAATAAATGATATTTCCCTTTGGCAGTAAATAGCTGATTCGACCATTTGCCTGAATGTGTGTGTGTGTGTGTGTGTGTGTGTGTGTGTGTGTGTTTAAGAAAAAAAAAAGATCCCAACTTTGACTCATGGTACATCGTTGATAATGCATATTGTTTCTACTGCTTTTGTGAACCTTTTGCATATTTGTTTGGGGCAGGTGTGTGGACCTCACTTATGGCCCAGGTAGGCACCCAGAGTGATACAGGCCCCCACCAGGGCCAGGCTGAGCAGGGTCTTCAGAGACAGCCAGGAGAAATCAAACAGGGGCCGCACGCTGGGACCGTACAGTTCCACAAAGGCATCCTGCAGCAGGGGAGAGAAAAAGAACAAAGAAAGAGCTTTAGCCACCAGGAGAGCTAGAAGGCCTTCCCACCAGCAACTGTGAGGGATGAGAAGGGCTTGGCATAGCTGCCAAGACTACAGGCTGCAGCCAGAACGACATAGTCAACCTAGCTCACTTCTAGGAATTTGCTTTGGAAAGTCTTCCTGAGGGAGCGGCGGGATAAGGCCCCAGGACTCGTAGATGTTACAGAATGAGTGCAGTAAGTGGTAGAGCCAGGACTGGAACCCAGATCCAAGCCAATGCCCGTCCTGGCATGGGTTCTGGACGTGCGCCATCACACCTAGCTTTGTACAGAGTGCCGGAGATGAAAAGCAGTTCTTCACGATGGGGCAGCAAGTGCATTACCAGCTGGGCCACTTCCTCAGTTCTCACGTTGTTTTGAGTCTGACCTACTTTACCCATACGCTATGAGTCTCCTTCTCTATGCATCCAGCTCTGAGGATTCTGAAGTAGTCTTCAAGGCAAGCTAAGGTCGTGGTTAGGGAACTGCTTACATTGCTAAATACATACTTACATAAATGCTCCTCATGAGTGCATGGTATCCTGTATCATACTTTATAAAAAGATTTTTAGTGTTTCAAACTTTAGGAATTATAAGCAATGCTATGGCATACTTTCGTACACAGGTGTTTAGCCATTCACTTTAAAGATAATAAGTTCCTAGAACTCTATTGACAACATCAAAGTTGTCACCAGGAATCATGACGAATTTGTGCTGAACTGTTCTTGCCACCTCATAGTGGCCTTTTGACCAATGGCACGGTTAAAGCTGGCTGTGGTTTAGGACAGTGGTTCATACGAAGGACATATGAACTGTCCTCCAGGGGACAGTTAGGGATGTCTATTTGGTCCTCTTTATTTAGGGCAAAGAAGCTCCTGGAGGGTGTCAAGGATGTCAACATCCCATGGACAGCCTTAACTCACTCAGAAGAGCAACTGAGAGCTAAATACCAATGGTTCTAGTTTACAGGATGCTCAGACCAAGGACTACAGAACAATCAGCCCCAGGTGAACATCAATGGTGCCAGCCACATTAGCGGGCCCCAAGCAAACGCGGGGCATCTCTGGGGTGGCGAGATTAATTTTTGCCAAGAGGGGGCGCAAACGGTTTCCTTTGGTTATTCACTGTTGGGTTTTAGAAAAGGGCAAGGGCACAAAGGAAGTGTATGTACACAGGTCTCTCTGTCACAGCTCAGCTCCCACCCGATGACTCACAGAGAAGCAGCCTTCCCTGTGCATGAGGAGGTAGCACTGATGGTGGAGGAAGATGAAAGACAGCCGCCACGCTCAGTGGTCCGCTTCCATCTCTTTTCTAGCCATACGTGTGTGAGCCCTAACGCCTCACCAGAGACATCCTAGTTCTTCAAGGCATCGTTCCTGGGCTGTTTGTTAATTCAGTTTTCTACTGAGAGGGCCAGGCTGCTCCTTGAATTCCATCAGTTTTCTGTGCCAAAAATCTAAAACAAATCAAACTATTGGTTTATGTGACCTTCCTGGTCATACAAACAGCCTTCCTGGGACCCCTGGACTCCTCCCTTTCTGGATCTGGATAAGCTCTTCATGACTCCACCCCTTCTTGCCAACAGCCACAGGCAGCATCCCAAGGGCCACAGCCTTCTGAGGGTGAGGTGAGCTAAATTAGTCCCTCCTGGCCCAAGGGGGTGGGGGGCAGGCTTTGAAGAGCTAAAGTCTAGGAAGGCCTCTGAATGTGCAGAAGATCTAGGCGACTCCCCCAGCCCCGAAAAATCTGTCAGTTCCTGGCCTTATTTACCTCACCCACAGCCACATCATTGGTGGCTGTGAAGAGGGACATGTCACTTCAGTTTGCCTGTCAGTAACAACAGTGTGTCCTGGTGTCTGCCCTCCATGCTGGGCACTGACGGCTCTGCGCCAGCTCCACCTGCCCATGCTCTCCTGTGCTTATGCCTACTTGCTCTTGCATGAAAGCTGCTGTACTGCTCCCCAAGGAACCATCCTCAGCTCTGAAGATGGAAGTGACAGTAGCAATGTCTCCTTGTCCCCTATATATTACTAACTAGTTCATCAGATTGCAGGACAGGGTGGCTGGTGAATTATTTAATCCCTGCAGCTTGCATGTGGCCCCTAATCCCCGCCCTCTGTAGTTCAAGCATGCAAGGCGACCCTGTAGTTTTAGGAGAGGCATTTTTAGAGAGACTCTTGCTTTCTCGAGCATCCCGATTGGGGAGATTTCTGAAGTCTGTTTAAACAGCCTGTCATTATTTGTTTAAGTCTGAAAACCATTTTTAAGCTACATATTTTTTCATTTTATGTAAAATGTTTTTTATATAAAAAAACAAAGGTGCTGGACAGATGGCTCAGAGGTTGACCTTATGTTGCTTTTGGAGAGGACCCAAGCTCCATTCCTAACACTCAGATTGGGCAACTCACAACTGACTGCAAATCCAGTTCCGGGAGAGCGATGCCTTTGACCTCTGTGGGGACCTGTACTCACGTGCACATCCCCACCCCCAAATACACATAATTTAAAATAAAATAAATGGTTTTTTTTTTAAAAAAAAAAAGAAGTAGAAAAGAAAACCCAGTCTTTGAATGTGACTCTGGCTACATCCCTGCCAACAGATCCAGTGTCAAGGGTGGCAAAGCTCCCTGCACTACATCTGTAGAAATGAGGGATGCTCACAGGCCCAGGAAGGTCTTTGCCCTCTGCTGGTCCCCATCTCCGCCAAGGGAGGAAAGGCCCAGTCTGGTTCTGTGCAAATTTCAGACTCAGAGGCCTTAGGCTGCATCCACCCAGGGTGAGCCACAGGGCAGAGGGTCACACTCAGGGTAGGAGTGCACAGAACAGCCAGGCCTACGAGTGTCTGCATTGCTCTACACTGCATAATGGGTGGATCTCAGCCTCTCTAGGTCTCCACTCTCAGTCTCTCTCAAACACCCCTCTGGAGGCTACTCACCCTTCAAAGCCTCTCTCCTCCACTTGAGTCTTCTAAGAAACAGCATTTAGGCTAAGAAAAAATAAGCTTGGAAAACTCAAACTGAGCTGGTTGGCAAAAATGTACATTATTTAAATAAAATCAAGAGCCAAAAGTGGCTGGGCTGGCTGTGACCCCAGGCAAGGGTAAAGAGACCCTGGAGTCTGGGAATGCTAATCAAAGGACTTAAAATGATGCCTTTTCCTTAATGTTTACATTTATATCTATTAGCTTGAGAAATAAACAAAACCCACAAATTGTGTTTTAACAGAATGACCCCCAAATAATTTAAATGCCTGAAAATAAGATCAGCACATCCATGTATGGATCCACAAAATGGAAACACACTTTGGACCATGCTAGGATACCGTAACCGTCACCTACACATGTCTGGGCATACACGTGAAGACACATTTGTTCATGCACACCTGTGCTTTTCCCGCTGAGGTTGTACAGCATCCACACTGTGCCTCAGCTGAGCATCCAGGTATTGCTGAGTCCACAGCTTCCAAGTCACTTGGGAATTCTCCACCCGTTGTCAGACCTGTCTTTGCCATGACTGCCCCAGCAGCCACCACTTTTCCTATGTGCACAGCTGCTCTTCCAGCAGTGAATGACACCCCTTTCTGAGTAAACTGGGACCAAAGAACACAAAGTACAAGAACTTATTTGGGGTCACTAATCTCCACCCTTGATCCTGATTCTACTGTCTTCTATGGCTTCTGGAACTTTCCTTCACCAACTATTCCCACTCTGGACCCTCTCTTCCGCCTCTTTTCCTTAGCATGTAAACATGCCGGTTCTTCTCACACTTCTGTGCTGATGCATGGCCCACATGACAGCCAACTGCCCACCCCTTTCTCTGGTTGTCTTCTCACCTTAATTTCCCTATTTCTTACTTATTCGTCTCTTCCGCTTCTGAGACCACCTCACGGCAGTCACTCCTGTTGTGTGGTAACTACAGTATGCCAGACAGGCAGCATTGCATAAGGACCTTTGGTCATTGCAAGTCATCCATGCACTCTTTGAGCTCCTCTGGCTTCCTGGAGAATTTCTGTGCTGTACCCTTCATGGGTACCTCCTCCTCTGATGGTCCAGATATGTGCTTGATGCATCTGACTTGTGTGTGGATCACTGTCTCTCTCTTCGTCAATCTCCTTCCCTGTCCCCATCTTAAATACCACGCTTGTGATGAAGTCTCTAAAGTTATTATATTCATTCCTATTCTCATCCAAACTGTAAGATTCGTATTCCAGCTGTGTGTTGTATGTATATGTTCATATAGGGTGTGCATGTACGCATGTGAATGCATACACACACACACACACACTTATTTTTTATGTGTATATGTTCACATGGGGTGTGTATGTATGCATTCAGGTGCCCACACATGTGAAAGACAGAAGTTAACACTGGGCATCTTCTTCAGTTGCTTTCTGCCTTATTTTTTGAGATGCTGAACCTAAAGCCCAACAATTTGGTGAGCTGGATGGCTGTGAGCTCAAGGAAGTCTTCAGTCTCTGTTTCCCTAGTCCTGGGATTACAAGTACCTGATGTCATCCTAGGTTTTATGTGGGTGCTAGTGATTCAATTTAGAGCCTCCTGCTGTGCAGCAGGCACTTTGCAAACTGAGTCATTTCTAACTCTCCAATCACATTCTAACGTATCCTGTGGGAATTACAGAAAACTCACCCGGTGTGAAGGCACCTCTACCGAGCCCTTCCTCACAGTGTACGTGAAACTAGCAATACAATTGAAAGAATTGTACTGTTAGATTGGTTCCCCTCACAAACAAACCCAAAGACAGACTGATCCCAAGACACTGTAGCTGAGGACTGGAGGTGGGAGAAAGAAGAATGGCCAAGCTAGAATTGCCTTGTCCAGCAAGAAAGGCTCCATCCTTTTGGAGATTAACCCTGATGGAGAATCCTATGAACCATTGAGGAACAGTGAGCTGGGAAATTTCAACAAAAGCTCCTGGTACACAGAGCCTGAAGTTGTGCCTA